GCTGAAGTCAGAAGCTCACATCTGCTAGCAGAAGTCATGCTACCTGAAGCCTTGGAGGCCTCAATGAAGGCAGCCCTAGACGTACCCCTAAAAACCAAACCCTTCATCAGGTGATCATGCTCACCAAATTGATGTCCCCATGCGGCCCCCCCAAATGATACGGCAGCGTCCATACCTACCGGGGCCACCAGTATAGACCGCAATATGTTGCAATCCCTAGTAAAGCTAATTGGCGCCTCCCATAGATGGTGTCTCCGTGTTTGGGAATTCCCCATATTGCCCTTGTTCTGATGAGCCCCCTGCGGGGTCTTTGATCTTGTAAAGCAGCCCAGATGAGCGAAGAGACCCCGGTCTTTGTGAAGTTGATTGCGTCATGGGCTAAGGATTTCTTGAGGACATCACAAAGGGTTCCCAGTGTTCTGGAATGGGCACACATCCTCATGGACCCTGGAACCTAGTCAAATGATTGAGCTCGGGACCGTCATGCTTTGGGGACACAAAGCTCACCCTAAGCCCAGAACCCCAAACCGTCCCTTAAACCCTTGACCTTCAAACCCTAAACTTTAAGCCCTAAACTCCAAGCCCAAATCTAAAAACCCCGAGCCCCTGTGCTGTGCAGCACTGGGACATTGCTTGCATGGCTGGAGGTTGAACCGCTGAAGAGCTCCGCCCCTGGAGATGGTCTAGGGCTTTGGGGTTTTGGGTTTAGGGGTCTAGGGTTTAGCTGGGTCCTTATTGGGATGGCACTAAACCTGATATTCCATCGCCATTAGAATTCTTTATTGGGTTCACAGCATAAACTTTGAACGGCTTACGACAGGGCTGAAAAAGACTTGGGAGAGGTGGTTTTAGGGTTAGGGGTTTAGGGTTTAGGCTGTAACAATCACCCGCCAAAAGCCCCTTAAAACAGCCAAGAAGGCCGTTATTGTACATATTGATGATGTTCTGGTTGGTCAGTGCGACGGGAGGATTTGCTCAGTCAGGGCTCCTGGTTGGATACTACCCAGCAAAAGTCTATTGTCGGGTGTATGGTCAGAGCATTACACCTTCATATTATACTCATTATCCAACTGTTACTGAGTTGGGGCCAGGCTGGGACATTAATTAAACCCAAAACCCCAAACTCTAAGCCCAAAATCCTGAAATCCTAAACCCTTTGAACTGTGTGGCTTACGGCATGATCAGGCTTGCGTCCTGGGGTTGGGGTCCTTAGGGCATGAACTGGCTTAGGGCTTAGTATTTAGGGTTTGGGGTAACATGGGAATCTCCCAAGATTAGGGGCACCTTCTTTGTGGGGGGGGGGGTTCTGCAATAAGGATTGCAGTCTTTTTAGCGTCTGTATTCGGGTCCTCCAGTTTGTGGGAACTACCATACTACCATTGGACCATATGCCAAATTGCTACCCTAAACCTAACCCCTAAACCCAGGGGTTTGGGTGAGATAGAAGTTCTTAATTACTGGCGGCCAGAAGGGGATGTAGGAGAGGATTCCTGCGTTGCATGCTATTCTTCCTTACATATTCTTTGCTGCGCCCCTACTAAGCAAGATGATTTAGGATGTAAAGCCCTGAGCCCTAAACGCAAAACTCTAAGCCCTAAACCCTAAACCCTGATCCCTAAACCCTAAACCTTAATGCCGCATTTTCCTCAACCCTGAGAGCCCAAAGCTTCCCTTGCCGACCAAATTCTAGGGTTGAACCCCTGTAGGTCTCAAGATGGGCCATTGATATTAGGATTTAGGGTTTAGGGTATATAGGGCTATGTATAGGGATCATGGGAAAGAAATGGAAGCTACTATTTAGGGTTTGGGGTTACCTTAGGTGGACCCCCCACCCTGTAGTAGTCGCTATAAGGGATAACAAGGTTCATATTAGGTTCCTATGACTATATTCCTCTAATATCACGATTACGTGGTGGGAGGTGGTCCTTCTAAGCTATAGTCTTATCCTAGTATTCCCTAAATAACCCCTGCAGTAGTCCAAAAACCCGCTTTAAGGAGTTTAGACTCTAGCTCATATGGGGTGTCCCAAAATTGCAGCTGTATAGTCTAGGGTTTAGGGTTTATACGGTTTAGGGCTGTCGGGTTTAGGGGTTTAAGGCTCATTGGTTTCCTGACACTAGGGTCCGTTCTTGGAGTTCGCTACATTGGGGTCCCCCCTGTTTAGGGGAACTGTCGTAGATTTCGCTTAGTGACTATGAGAACTGGTCGAAAAACCTACTTGTGATTGTATTGAGCCCTTGTGAACAATAGGTTAGTTTAGTTCCGCAGTCCCTTGAATCCTAAACCCTAAGCCCTAAACCTATTCCTTGCAAAGGCCCAAGGCGCACTGCAGCTGCTGCTGACAAGACGGCGACAATGGGTCTAAACATGGCCACCATGAACCTGAATCACAAACGGCAACTGAAGGCTGGGTTTAGGATTTAGGGATTTAGGGTGTAGGGATTTATGGTTTAAGGTTTAGGGATTTAGGGTTTAGGGATTTAAGGATCAGGGTTTATAAGGGATTAGGATTTGGGATTTAGGTATTAAGGTTTTTGGTAAACGCCCAAGATGGCACAGCCAACGATGACAGGATAGACCCTGAATAAGAATTATCACGGGGTAGACTGTTTGCCCTGTCAACCTAGGTTCCCCAGTAACTCTTTCATAATTGGGGCACCCCTCTTTCTAATGCTCAGATTTAATGAGGAGACCCCGAAATTAAAAGGGGAAAAGGGTACTACTGGGGTACCTAGCAACGATTTGAATGCCAGCAGAGAAAGAATTCTACATTCAAACAAAGCAGAGACGACGATTTCCAAAGGTGCCCACACCCTTTGAGTACTGAAAGCTCAAGGTACAAACTAAGACCTTGGGTCCAAGTACCCAAATGACAGAGCGCTGGGTCCCAAAGACTATGACCTGTATGTTTGTAACATGAAGCCTAAGCAGAATAAGGACCACATCTGCTGTGCGCACAGATGCCCTAGGTATTGCAAAGCCAAAGATAATGGTAACTATAACCCAGCTAGAGGTTGCCGAAGTCGCGTAAGTGTGGTTGGCGAGAACTTACAAATTATAACGACGTCAAAGAACTGGGGCATAGTTATCCCGACCCTCCCGGTACTCTCAACCCTGGCAGAGTTTGAGCTAAGCATGCGGCCATCCAAACCACGGAGGACACCAAGTCTCATCACGCTGGAGAGAATGCTCTGAGACGTCATTTTCCATGAAATGCCTGCAGAAAGTTGCGTGGGTCCTAGTGTACTTCCACTGTACTTGACATGCCCCACCTTTTGGGCACAGGGTAGCCAGTCAATACCTAGGGGCCCCTTACACCCCCAAGGTCTCATCCTCACGATCAAAACCTCAAAGGGCAGCGACAGCAGTTCGTTGCATCTCCTTACGCAAACATCTGAAGATCTAAGCCCGACACTCACGAAACTCTAGAACAATACGCTCTGTACCCTAGTACGCCCCGACCTTCTTTGTTCTTGCATCGACAGACTTAGGGCTCAAAGTGGTTCCCATATACCTACTTTAGGGGCCAACTATGTACGTACTACTGTATATTGCCAAGCAACATGGCATTCAGGAGGTGGTTCTCAATCTGAACCAGAAGAGGGACCCCAAGACCCAGAGTGGCGGAATTGGTCCAGACTTTGACCTTGTAGACTGGGGTGGGGTTCAAGGTTTAGGGTTTAGGGTTTCATGGGTCCGCGCACCAGGTCCTGAACTCATCCTATCGAAGGGGCAAGCTTAGAGCCGTCACGAAGGGTAGAAGGAGTGTTGTAGAAAGCTCAAAAGACTAAACGGAACGCAGGAAGCAAACGGACACGTGGTTGATCATAGACTTCTCTAGCCCAACCTATTCTGCTAGTGAACCTCGCTAGCCTCTTGATCAGGGCTTTATTATCCAGGGTTTGGGGCTCAGGTGGTCAGCCAGGATGGATGTCAAGACACCCTGAAGGTGCTTGTTTGTTTTTATGCATGCCATCGGTTCCTGATTGGGAGGTGTACATAAAACATGGAGTGGGCCCGCCCCTAACACAAACACAATCATCCCGGTTGTACAGGCCCCCAAAGCTTGCAAACCCTCAGTATGCTTTTTAGTGCTCCGTGAAGCCCTATATCAGCCACAGTCCAGTCTCCGATTATCCCCCTTTACAACCCATAAGAGTCCACTATATAACCCCCCTTTAAGGAGTTTAGACCCCAAACCCTACACCCCTAAATCCGAAACCAAAATCCAATGTAATCCCCTATATAACCCCCTAAGGAGGTTAGACTATAGCTCCTTTGCCAGACTCGGCTCAGCCACAGCAAACGCGCTCTGGTGCTGCCCGCGCAGGTGCAGCCGCCAGATGAGGATAGGCACCAAGACAGTCATCCTTGGGCGGCCGATTTGGGCTTAGGGCTTAGGGTTTAGGATTTAGGGTGTAGGATTTACGGTTTAGGGTTTAGGATCTAGGGTTTAGGGCTTAGGATTTAGGGTTTAGGGCATATTCAGGGTTATATGAGCTACAGTCAATATTACCCCATATAACTACTGGACATGGGCTCCTTATTAGGGAGTATATTAAGGACTATAGTAAGCTACAAGAGGGACCCCTATGTCCACTCTGGTCCCTTGGTAAGGCTAATATTGACAGTAGCTGACATCGGGGAGTATGATAGGGGTTAAGGGAGATACTAGGAGATTCGATTCCGGCGCATTTTGGGGTTAGTGCGGAGAATGAGGTTGGATGGTGTAGGCTGTTTGTCTCTCTTGGGGAAGAGGCTCATAGAGTTTTCAGGTGCGCAGCTTAAGATTAGAATGCGTAGCGTTTGGCGTGTAGGCTTTAGGGTTTCCACGGATGGGATTTCCTTCACTTCGTTGAGTCTAATACTGTCGGACAAAACTTGCATAGGGTGAATGTGAAGTGGGCGATAAGCGATACCGTTCCCTGAATCTCTTGAAGTCGCTTCTAGCTTGGGCAGTCAATCCTACGCCGCCACAGTTACTGAGGGCAAGGTATAGTTTACAAAACATGAAACCTTCTGCGATGTGACAATTTTTGTACTAAAAGCAACCCAGACAGCTCTGCTAATTCCCCCAGCAGCAGGGTGGAAGATGCTATGGACAAGTAAAGCCAGCCGACGCTGCCGATGCTGCAAGCAGCGTAGTTGTCCACGAAACCCATAGAGTCCACAATGGCTAGGACCCAAAGCATGGTCGCCGTGCCCATCCTTGAACAATCTGCAATACAAGTCAAATTCTTCTCTGTCAGACTACAACAAAAGTAAATCCAAGAGACCGTGGCATGTTATATGGTTACAACTTTTGACGCATCCGAGATTTGCAAAAGTCGGGCACAAGGGAGATATCATCTTTTACCCATATAGAACCCCAATATGGATACTAGTGTTCGTGATAGGGATCCCCTAGCCAAGGTTTTCAGCGCGGGGGTCATTTACATGTCATGTTTCATGCTCTTTTCCATTTGATTCTCCATTACTCGTTCATACATAGCCTTAAACCCTGATAAGAATGTTCCTTACCTTGCTATAAACCCTGTATGACCCAAAACCCTAAATCCCACAGCCTAAGCCCTGAGGTTCATGTCGGGCTCCCACTCCGAATCTCTTGAAGCTTGGGTTTCCCTACCGCGGTGTTCATATTGGGATAATAGAAAACAAAATTGAAACTTCTAAAATGGGGTTATATGGGGTTTAGGGTTCTAGGATTTAGGGTTGGGGTTTCACTTGAAGGTAAGACGGACAAAAGTATTGGTCATTGGCGGGGTGAGACAGCTGATCAGGTGTCAGCAAGTAATGGTGATGGTTTCACCTTGAGGTCTCCTCAACTGGGGCTGTATAAGAATCCTACCTTTTAATGCTGAATTGGGGTCGACGTTGCATTCATCTATGTTCTTAGGCCGTGTCTGGGCATCATCGCTCTTTGCTCCTTATCGTTTCTGAGCAGCCGGAACCATCTGAGGGAAATTTCCATCGTGACTACATTCTTGGTACAGGGAGAATTATACAACTCGGACTGAAAACCTAATACGTGCACTCACCAATGTTCCCACGGAACCCTATATACACTCATCCCCTAAACCCTAAACCCCTAGCCTTCCTAAGACCCTACTGCAGGTCAGACAAAGCCTCTTGGTCAAAAGGTCCGTGTTGCCGATTCCGCTGATGTCCAGTCCCGCTTCGAATGCATTTCCTGGTCAGAAGAGTTTAGGAATAAGGGCACTAGTTTAGGGATTAAGGGCTTAGGGTGTAGGATGCTCTAGGGAATTATACCGGGATATTATATAGCAGCTATTGCGGGCTTATGTCGGGATCTAGATTTCGGATCCACCCAGGGGTCTGGGTTGGTGAAAAGCAGGCGAAGCAGCCTAGAAGCATCCAAGACAACTTTCTGCCAACGGGGTCCCAACCACCAAAAGCAAGCCCTAAACCCTACAACCCTCTCAACCCTTTCAAGGTTTGTTGTAGCAACTCGCAGGGGGTCCGCAATCTAGACTCTGTGATGCGTTGAATGCCCGCGTTTTTTTTTTTTTCGAATGTGGAGTGACAAGCTCCCTTGGGCGTTTCTAAAAAAAACAGGTTCCGGCTGGTAGCCCCAAACTAAACATAGCAGTAGTTGCAGGAAGACAAACATGCTGCATGTGCTTGTGCCTCTAGATGTTTCCTGTGCAGGCACCTGCGTGTTGAAGAATATCTTACACCAGACTGGGCCTTTGATTCATGGGGACCCTGGAATTGAATCATCGACAATGCCCACTTGATTACCCCAACTGCAACCCCAAACCCCAAACCCCAAACCGAGTGGAAATGGGTACCTCAATCACTTAGTAACCCAGGGTCCCACCAAGTACTCAAAGTCTGGTACCTGCCCCCAAGACAACTTCCAACAAGGTCAAGAAAAGATCTCATTGGGGCTTGCATCCTCTGACTGAGGGGGATGATCCCTAGCATGAGTCCTAGGGATGGGGGAACTCCTGGAGTTCCAAGATGTCTATTGTTCTTGAATCTTGTGTATACATGGTTTCATACAAAACATGATTGCAAATTGAATTGCGTTTATTGCGAGTTTAATTTATCGTTTTGAGTAAGTTGTAAAGAGATCTTAAGAAGATTTCACTGGTTGTGATTAAAATTGATTGTAGTTGTTTTGATCACGGTTTTGAAATGATTCCAAATTCTGGGTGCTTCTTAAGGTTGAAATAGATATCATCTGTGTTTCAACCAGATGTTACTTGATTCCAATGACGAATTTTCATTAGATTTCATTGATATTGGATTTATCAATGTTGATTTCAATTAATTAGATTTCAATATGATCTCATTATGGCGCCCGCGAGCCGGTGCACTGCATCCGAGACCGTTCTCCCCAGTATATATATATATATATACACCCCCTAATGTTTGAGTCCTACTCTACATACCCCCTTCAAATGAAACAGGGGTTGGCGTGCGTACATTGAAGGTGGAGGAGCACTTTCATTCGGAGGAAGAATTGTGAACCAATAGAACCAATACGGTCCACTATTTGCGGTTTTTCAACTTAGTCCACTGAAACAGAACATGACATATGAAGAGTTTGTGAATAATAGGGCTTCCAAATATGTTGGCACCTGACTTTAATTCAGCTCCTAATGAACAGCTTCCAACCGGCTTTTAAATCCTAAACCCTAAGCTCGAAACCATCCCAAACCCTGAATCCTCAAAGGACCAAGTGGCGAAGTGAGTCATTGTAAGCCCCAGCTTTCATAAGCACCTTGATGGTCAAATCGACATCTGCCTTTCCATCTCACACAGCGAAGGTTCCACGACGTCCAGCCCTAAACCCTAAACCCTACCTTAACGTGTGAAATAGGATCCCCATCGCCCAAAGTGTTTTGCATCACAATAGGATGTAGGGTTTGGGGGATATCGGGGGTTAAAGGGGGTTATATAAGGATAATGGAAAAGAACATGGAAACTACCATTTTGGGTTTAGGGTAATTTTGTACTGCAGTTCAAGAACTGGTGTCCCATCACCTAGGCTTTTACATAACCACGCCTCGTGACCCTGGATGTCGTCTCGAATCCGACGCTCATCCGTGGGATTTGTACAAGTTGCCTTCGCTGAAATCATGTTACAGTCGGGATGTGGGAGGTAAGGCCTCATGAGACAGCTGCCTGAGCTGCCACTGCAAGGGTACCCCCTCTTATTAGTAACCCCTCGTTCTGGCCCTCCCGCACCCGCCCAGTCAGCAATGTTCACCATGAATAACCTTCCGATCTTCTGGGAGTAAAAGCTGCTATCATTGTCAGGAGGCTGCAGGCTTTGGTATTGAGGTGTTTTTTGGCAAGTCTGATTCAGCGCTTGTGGTCAGTTGCGTCCTGTCGGGTCTTTTCACAATAGGCCTTGCGCTTAGGGGTCTTAAAGATAATCAACTATCATGAAGCGATTCTCGCAGCCGCTGCGTAAGAACATGCAAAAATAGTTATACTGAGGGACACCCCATAAAGTACGCCCTGGTTTTAGGAGTCCTGACAGCATCTTGAAGAGGACACCTTCTCTTTGAGAAACTCCCACATTGGGGTCTCCAAAGTAAGGGCTTGAAATTCGGATGTCTGTGTGATAAGTATAAGGTCATCGGCGGGGTTCTAGTTATATGGGGGTTTCCCAAAATAAGGGGTACCTGGATTATAGTATATTGGGGTCTGTATCTGGGTCCCCCTATTTAGGGAAGACAAGCATATAAGAAGGGGGCAGTCACTGTGCTTTGACTTAGTGTTTAGCGTCATCTTCACAGTGTTTCCTTCGGCTTACCAAGTGGTGAGGTATTCGCTCCATCGCTCAGGATGCGCCAAGGGACCTCATCCAGCGTGCGAATCTGCAAGTTACTCGCCTCAGCTGCGGCATGGAGGAACCCCCCCCATCCCAGGAATTGACTTCAGGGTTCTCTGGGCTTAGTACTTTTGGATGCAAGCCCGCTCACATGGTCCACCGAAAACAAGCACCTTAATGCTGTGAACATGTAGCTACCCCCTCTACGCTCCACGCCATGAGCCTTGAAAGCGGAAAACTACCTGAGGGCTGAATGTTACTTTTGACAGGCTTAAAGACACTTCCTAGCAGAACCCAAGGGGTGCATGTACCCAACAATTGGGTACTTGGGATATGGGTACTACTGCTTGTAGCACAGGTTCATGGCTCATGGTACGTTTATAAGTATTGGCACCCGTGAGGTAAATGCAAATACTGGATCTTCTAATCTTCCGAGCAGAGGGGTGAAATGATCCCAGATGAGCCTGTCGAACCACCGTTACACATGTGGTGCTGCGATGTGATGTCCTTTCATCATCGGCATGCTTAGAATTTCGCATCTGCCGGTCTACAGCTATCCACGGACGGTCAGACGAAAGCCCAACACAGGAATTTCCAAAGAAATCCCTGGCCCATCTACTAGAACTGCATAGGAGGGGCGAGAAGCACTTCCTCGAGCATAAGCCCTTCACCCCGAACACAATTATTATAACACGACTGTTGCTACTATTATCATGAGTACTATCATTGCTTTTAACCGCATGTTTTGTAATTACTACTACTACTACTACTACTACTGCTACTACTACTACTACTACTGCTACCCTAAACACTAAACCATAAACTACTACTGCCATCTACGGTCTGAAGGCCTGTCTGGTAAGCTCCAGGGTTTCGAGGCGGTGCTGGTTCAGCTGAGTGATACCTGGATTTTTGCGGTGCTTAATGTCTTGGGCTTGGGACATCATACAGATGCTTCTGGCTGTGAGTGGTATGCCATAAGTGAATCAGATCACCCGAGTGGAAGATGCTGTAGGAGCCCAATGAAATATGGACGTTAATCATGATCAACCCCTAAACCACATATAATCATGGCATAATGTACATCATCATAGTATCATTATCTCTTGTGGCCACTACCAGCGGGTGGTGGCCAACCTAAACTGCACCCCGAGGCCTACAGAGACTCCAAAGGTATGAGGCCGTGCTTGCCATGTGTTAGGTTTAGGGTCTATGGTTCGTTGCTCGGCACAGGGGTTCTTGCAAGTTAGCTCTGGCATAAAAGAGTCAAGTTTGCATCCCAAAGATTTCGCTTGTGGGTTTAAGGCCTGCTCTGCATGCTTTACTCCTATACTGCATCTCCTGTTTTGGGTGCTATATGGCGCGCTTTTCTGTGGAGCATCTTATGGTGACAGATGTGAGCCAATCCTTGAGGCAAGAGAAGTCCATCTTGAGATGAACGTTATGAACATAATCGCCCTTAAGCAGGTCGAATCAGGAATTGCGCGCTATCAGAATAACATCCCTTCTATCAACTTAAGGGGGACCATAATACCCTGCAGGTCCAGGTGCCTGCAGAGCATCTACCATAGGGTTTGGGGGGATATCGGGTTTAGGGATGCCATACTCTGCTGGTCCTGCCAAAGCCATTCTGATACTGAGCTGCTACTGGCAAGTGGAAACTCTGGCAACTGCTTGAAAACAACTCCGGCTCAAACACCGCAGTGGACCATATGGGGGTTTCCCAAAATTAGGGGTACCATTTTGAGGGATCCCCATAATAAGGATTATAAAATATTGGGGTCTATATTGGGGTCCCAGTATTTAGGGAAACTACCATATACGTGTTCTCATAATGCTTGTTGGGGACTCTCTGGAACTGCTTACCATAGGAGAAAGGGTTGTACTTTCAGTGGAACCGAATCGCCTATCAGTGCGCCTCAAGTTCACATTGAGACCACAAACCTCAACAAACCCCAAAACTCCAATCCCATGGAGTCGGAAACCTTGATCCAAAAACCTTTGGGGTAACCAAAGCTCCTTATCAGCTTGGCAATTCCGACTAATACATTACATATCACATACTGCGAGAGGGTCAAGCGGGAACACTATTAAACATGCAGCACGACATGACTACCTAATCGCCGCCCAAACCGAACCCCAACAGCGTTCCTCACTGTTCAGTCTTGTACACAGGAGTTCCTCCTAACAATCCCCACATAATCCTTCCCCCTTAAACCTGCAGGGCCTCTAGGGTCTCCTGTTTCAAGAGAGCCTTCGCCCTACACCCTGATCCCTCAACCTGAAACCCTACACCCTGAACACCCTAAACACCCTGAACACCCTGAACGCCCTGAACACCCTCAACACACTAAACCCAAGCGTTACCTCGGGGCCCAAGATGCGGAGGAGGTTAAAGAGCACAAGCGCCACCGGGATGAAATAGTGCAGGAACTGCTCCTCATACTCTTGCTGCTTAGGGTCTAGGGTTTAGGGATTGAGGTTCAGGGTTCAGGGTTTAGGCTCCCCAAAAAGGAAGCGATCCCTAATGTATACCCCCGTATACTACCATCCCCATTATAGGGACCCTCCCACAAAGGTACACCTAATTTTGGGAAACCCCGTTTTGTCGCGGCTCACAGCCATTTGTAGGGGGAATGAAGGAGTGGAACCACAAAAAGAAAACTTGGGGATTATGCAGGGGCGCTTTGCAGGGATCCATTCCTCCATTTCCTACTATGAACGAGAGAGTACTTGGAGGCTCAGGAAATTTCTCACTCAAGTAAAACCGTTTTATTCAAACCTTAGAAGCCCGCTAGACCCCCCAATTATTGCTATAGTTGGGTTGTCAACATACCGAGACTTGGGCTATGAGCACGCTGCGCCGCCAACTAGGGTGTGGGCACTCAAAAAGAGAGCCCATGTGGAATCCTATAGATGTGGAGATCACTGGCAGATTTTTCGCCTTTAGGACCTTACAGGTACCACGGGGAGATTCCCATAGGGTTCATGGTTTAGGATAATTCTGCCACCGAACCAGGAACTCCTGTACCGCTCTGCCAAACAAGCAGGCGGAAATCCAAGCAGCGGGCACAGAAAGACACGAACCCTAAGCCCTACAAGCCCCAAACCTACCCTAAACCTTACACCCTAAGCTCTAAACCTAAACCCTAAGCCCTATAGCCCTAGAAGCCCCAGAGCTGCATTCACCCTGTCCCTGAAGGGCCTTGGGTTTAGGAGGCAAGGCGCCCAGGCAGAGAAGAAGTGAGGTTTCAGGCTGAACCAAGCACAGGCCACCGCTATACACGCGGGCAGCAGAAGGATGTGCCTCGAACGTGCTGGTAATTCGGATTCGCTTAGGGGATTCTTTGTAGTTTTGTGTTATGCGTCTCCTTTTTTATACTTAAGGGCTACCTATCCTATTTGATCAAAATGTTTGGCTAGGAGCCCTAACTTAAAGCAAGATTGGACTCCCACACGATTCAAGGACATGTCTTGATTCAAGGTTCTCAGACTCTCAAGCTTGTTGAGAGCTTTACTTATACCAAGGATAGTGACTTGGAGTATAGGGGTTATATAGGGATAATGAAAAAGAAGATGGAAACTAATTACTATAGTATGCTGGTTATTTTAGGGCTTAGCATTTCATCAGTGTTCCCTAAGCAAGCAGATACTTGTTCTAGAGTGCTCCAAGGGGAAATCATGAGTTTAGGACCATTCAGTGTTGGACACCTGCCTCAATAAAGTTGTATTCGTCTTCAGTAGGTGTTTCCCCGATGCGTAGGAAGGTTGCATGGACTATCCCTGACATACGCCTGGCCTATCCTGGCATGTAATCCTTGGAACCTATAACATACCTCAGCCGCCTGAATCCCAAATCTTAAATTCTTGAACATGTAACATCGAAAAACAAAGTTCCAAACCATTGTTAAGGTTGCATTGTCCTGACAATCATCATCTTCACCCACACGCGCCAGGCCATGATAAACTCAAGAAATGTTAGCCTTAGCTGTCGACTTTCTATTTGGGGTACCCTAAACCCTAAAACCAGTTATCCTTGAGGTTTGAGAAGGGATACTACTACCCCAAAACAGGTTAGAGGCTACCCACTTGACAGCCAAGCAGCTTGATGAGCAGCGAGAGTGCAAAGCAAAGAGCCGTTCCGGTGACGCAAAGGAACATGAGGAGCGTCGCCATGTTGTGTGAAAGGGTCTTGTGACCAGAGATAAATACCAGCCACATTGACCCGATCAACAGGCCAATACCGCAAGGGATGATAATGGTTGATGCGACGACCGACCTGTGTACTACCAACTTTGGTTGCGTAGGCATCAGGCACGTCTTGTGCCAGCAGGTGCCAAGATATGCCTCATACACACACCAGAGTCTTGTATAAATGCTCACCGTGTCGTTGGGAATGACCAGCACATGCGATGCGCTTCGCATGGCTTTGGCGAACGGGCTCTCTTTGGGCGGGCCACTCAGCAACTGCCCGATATCCAAATTCTGAGGGTTGGCCAAAAGGCAACAGTACCTCACACGGTAGTTTTCCTACATACGGGGATCCCAACGCGGACCCCAAAATACTATAATCCTTAATGTGAGGACCCCCATAAGGTACCCCTAAGTTCGGGACATCCCCACACAGGATTTAGGGTGCGAACTTAAGCCATTCGCAGCTTGCTCGGATTTTCTTAATCTTTTCACAGGAAAATCACACACCCCGCGCCCCTAATATTGAACCTGTCCCCCATTTTACAAGCTCTCTTATGGAAGAACACTTCATATTAGGGGGTGGGGGTGCTAAAAAAACATGAGCCTACGTTGTCGTCGGCACAAGCAACTGATAGGATAAACCAGAGTCTCCCATAATTTGATACACTTCTGTGTAGTCCGCACAGGGCCAAGGCCGAGGAAACAATCCATACTCCCATATACTAGAGCCCTCAAGTCCTATGTACAGGATTTTCTCACTAGAAGCTGCTGCTGGTTTTTGGGAAGACTCCTTATTCAAGCTTTCAACCCCATCTTTTTACACTCCTAAGGGGGCTCTCTGCAATTACTATAGTCACTATACATACTCCTCAGAAATGCCCCGGTTTAGAGTTTAGGGTCTAGGGGTAACCACTAAACCCAAAACCCCAAACCCCTAAACCCTAAACCCAAAACCCAAAACCCTGAACCCACAACCCAAAACCCTAAAACCCTAGACCCTAAACCCCTAAACCCAAACAAGAGGCAGGTAATACCCCCTTGTGCATGCTGCCGCAACGCAAAGCTCCATCAGGACTGAAGGGTTTCTCGCAGC